CCTCACGCCCTCTCCGTCCTCCTCCTCAACCCGTCACTGTCGCCTCCCCTCCTCCGTGGGCTGCCTGTCTGTGCCCAACGCCGGAGGACGACGTCCACCATGGAGTGGATCCCAGCGGCGGGGTCCAACACGGTGGTCGTCTCCAACGAGCGGTGGTCGACGTCGACGAGCAGGGCCCTTTGGTCGCCAACCCTCCTCCTACTGCTATCTTCCCCGTCCAGAGAATCCAGAGAAACACGGTGCCTTCTTCCTCCTTATGTGGATGTGATGCAATTTAGTGAACTTCGTAAATACTAGAGCTTCAGAGGACGTTCTCGTTTTCTCCCATATGGATGAGGTGATTGCTTGCTTTTTTGATGCTTGTGTTAATATTGCTAAGGAAAAATAGAGGAAGAGGATCCGTGTTGTTTTGAGTGCTGATGTACTCCTGGATGAGTAGGGGTGAATTTTTGTTGTTGCTGCTAAGGAAAACATCAGTGTTACTGCTAAGGATAAGATAGAGTAGGAGGAGTATTTGATAACCCTCGATCAGTAGGGATGAAATTTTGTTGCAGTTTGATTACTTGTAAATTTTGTTGAAGAACTGTAATAGGAGAGGACCTACCCTTCATGTGAAATCAAACTCAAATAAAGGGCAGACTTTAGTGTGCTGCTCGAAATAATGATGTTGTGAACATTTGTTCTAACAAGGAAACTCAGGTCATGCTTATCCTCCTAAATTGCAATGTTTTTTGATTTAAAGTTTGTTATTCCGTGTCAACTGTATCTAGCACTTTCCGAAAAAAAATCAGGAACTTGCTTTTTAATCAGGTTGGGTTATAAGCAATTAGAGATTGATCACCTGCCTAGCTGCCCATTTATGAAAACAAATAGACTACCTTGAAAGTGTTCAGGATTTCAAAAGCATGGATTAGGAAATTACCTACAAGTAGTATACAAATAGATTGATTCTATTGATTTTTTTTTGTCTCAGATGAAAGAGAAAGAAACATGTAGTTTCCTAGGCAGTTAATGTTCCTCATGATATACTGACACAGCCAAAACAACAGGTGTGTAGCTTCCAGTGAGCGAAGTAACAACAAGAGGTAAAGAAACGAGATTCTTTTTTCTCTACAATCGTTCTTTGTTTTCTGTTGCAAGAAGAGATGAGTTTCAAACTTAACACTCTATTTGTTTGTAAAGGTATTTCAACCAAGTCATAATCATATGATTATTTTCTTGTTTCATCTAGAAACCCAACAAAGAAGATATGGGCCACTGGTGGTGAATGCAGGCTTGTCGGTGGCGTATAGGGACGACATCAACTTGCCTGTCACGGCAAAGGGGGGCCAAGCTGGAGATGAGCTGGTGATAAACAATCTCAGGCCGAGCAATGTAAGAATCTTTTTTTATTATCTAGACCATGCTTACAAACCGGATGAAGATTTGTTTTGATCACATGTTAGACTATGCGGCCGGGTTACCATAATTGAGTCTGATGCGTACCAGTAGAGCTGCATGTCAGATGATGGGACATGAGAGCTCAAAATGAAACTATGATGAGGCGACCCAAGCTCTCAAGACTTCATATTTTTCATAGCATTGATGATGTTGTTTAACTTTATTAAAAAAAATTGTAGGTTGTCGAAACTTGTCGAAGAGAATGTTGTAAAAATTATAAGGTGAAAATGATTTTAAATTAAAGAATGGATTTCTTGCTCCGGAGCGCTCCCAGCCCCTGCTTCGCCGCCATCGCCCCGATGCTTAAGCGGGTCAGCCTTCTCACCTCATCTGGGGGCCTATTGGCAGGAGTCACCGCCTCGGTAGGCCATGTGGTAGGCGGGCTTGCTTCCCCAACACAGGTACTCGCAAGAACCAACTAGGCCAAGACGACTCTTTGCATCGAGAACATGCAGATGGACGAGAGCTACATTTATAATTGATTGGCAAGCCGTGGAGAGTATGTTCCTCTCGCTCTCCTATGCAAGGCAACAGAACAACGGTCTTCCTGAAGCCAGTCCGGGAGCCACGCACGCCACTGGTGCTGGCGAGCGTGTGAGGCACATCGACAACGCACTGCATCTCAGTCGGCTTAGAGATGCCCGCCTCTGGTGTCACGGCCAACAACTCATCCTCTTGCCGGCCCTCCACTTCGGACATCGAACAGTACATGATGCATCGCTCCTGCGCCTCCCCATACACCAGCGTGGGAGGGACG